CTTGAGGAGGAGTGGAAACAAAGCACTGGCTGCCCCATAAAGGAGGAACCTGAAGCCGCCCTTCTCGCCATAAATAAGTCAGGAGGCGCTCTGGGTCGGAGACAGCGCGAGGCCTATTTTGCTGCCACCTTACCCTGAAAACCCTGCTCTGAACCGCACAGGCCAATTTTAGATTCCACTTAAAACCCTCTCTCCCCAAAAGATTGTCTTTCAAAACTCAGAGATGCAAACCAAGTTCCAGTCAAGTATTTCAGAAGCATCCTCTTAGACATCAACTCTCTTTTCATCGTATTGAACATCTGCTTTTGAAGAATAACTCTAGTGATAAAAAATAGCTTTGCTCAGCCCACTAACTTGTCTTCACCCACTGCCATGCGCACCAGCACCCCATACTGAGGGGTGACGAGAGCCAGGCATGGGTGGCAGGCACTACCCTTGAACTTATGACCAGATTCGGGGTCTCTCAGTGGAAAAGGAATTTTCATCACAGTAGGGTCACACCCAGAAACTGAATTACATTTCCAAAATTTTCACCAAGATTAATCTCTGTAAAGCCACTTTCCTTAGCAGCACAGTGACCCGACTGTCTTATTTACACTCGGTCTTATTCTTAGCACTGTGGTGAGTTTATATTTGGTCTCTAAATAGACAAGAGATGAAAGAGCAAGTAAAAGTCGGGACCAGTACATTGTTTCCAGGACTGAAAACGCGGAGTGAAACTACTGTAATCTTTTCCTCCAAACCAAACAGGAAGCAGAGCCCTCCCCTCGGTATGACTGCCCTCACTCACACTGGGCTCAACCTCGGTATCTGCTGGGGTGGAGGGCTGACTCCTCTTATCGCTGCTGACAGCAGCGAGAGCCTTGCTTGAATATGAAACAAAAGTTTGCAAGCCCCTAACATGAAAACACCAGCCTCTGAGAGAGAAAGGTCTTTCCTAACAGTGCAGGCTAATCTGTGCTATTACTCCACGGGAGAAAGGGCAGTGTATGATTTGAAAAGTAGCTAACTGAGCCCTAGCCAATTTGGTTCAGTACATAGAGCGTTGGCCTGCGGACTGAAGGGTCCCGGGTTCAATTCCCTCAGGAGCACATACCTCAGTCACAGGCTCCTCCTCAGCCCGGGGCCTTGGTCTGGGCGTGTGCGGAAGACAACCGATCGATGTGTTTCTCTGATATCATGTTTCTCTCTTTCTCTCTCTCTTCCACTTTCTCTGAAAATCAATGGAAATATATCCTCGGGTAAAGATTTTTTTTTTTTTAAAGGTAGTTAACAGAGCTGTCCTAAAACAAATATCAGAGTTGCAACTGTAGTCAGGATTATCCGCTAAGTACATAGATTAAAGTTTGACCAGGAATGTCTACAATGCCAAACACGCAAACATAAAAAATTAAAAACCTTTTGCCTTAAATACTATCAAAATGTTTCTAGGGAGTAACGATTATTGTATAAACTTAACAGGTCCAGGGAAATTCACTACACAACCCAGTGAATCGGCAGAAAGGACAGTAACTTTTTTAGTTTACCTTTAAAGCAATCTGAAACAAACACGCATTGATCAGTATCAACATTAGAACTAATTGTAACAGCTACTCCGGATACAATTGTAATAGCCAATGATCAGTAAGTATCAATAATAAAACTTCATTGTAACAGCCAGCCACTCCGGACACAATTCCTGTCTGTAGAGGCTAATTTTCAATTGTTTTGGTTCACTAACTTGGCTAATTTCTACAGTTCCTAACTTCCAAGTGTTCGTCAATTAAGGAAAGTCCCCTGTGCCCACTTGATACAATGGTTCCTAAGAAGAGGTGTACATAATTTCCATGCCAAACCACACTACACTTTCAGAGATAACCAGGGAAAAAGGTGCTGTCCCTGTGACATAATGAAATGTGCAAGCAGAAAGGTCTAACAAGCACATATATCGCAGCACCATTTTAAATGTTATAACTTCTCAAAGTGACACAGCTTGAAAATGCAGAAGCCACTCCAACTTCCGTGATTCAACCAATGGGCATGATTCTAATAATTATTCATACCACTTCCTTGCATGATTAAGAATGCTTTGGTGAGACGGAGAGCCACCCTCCAATTCCTGATTCCAACATCTGAGTCATTTTGTATCAGATACACTAGCAATTGTGTTCTCAAGTCCAGGTATGTATCACACCTATCAAAACCTTTTCCTTTATTACTTCTAAAGTCAATATTAGTCCAGAGAAGCCCTTTGTAATTCAGGTATGTATTTTTTACAAGTGTCCTACACTTTCTTCTAGTGTCCTATGATTTGCTTTATTTGCTCTTTTGTGAAAAAAATAAAACCAGAAAAAAAGCTTTTTTTTTTTTCTGCCTATGGACTGAGGAAGAAAACTCAGACTTAAAGGAAAAAAATGGAAAAAAAAATTAACCAACAGTCCCGGCACTATTTACTGAATAATCCATCCTCTCTCCAATAATCTACAACGTTATTTTAATCACATGTTCTAATTTTCCGTCTTGCTGCCAATTTACCAATAATTATTATATGTATTCCTTAGTACAATCTTTTTATAGAAAAAAAAATTACTGGTATTTATCAGAAATTTAAATGCACATACACTTTGACCCAAACATTACATTTTAAAAAATTTGACATATGGCAATACTACATAAGTACATAAATATAAAAATATAACACTGCTTACTACAATAGCAAAAGCCTGGGAACAAGTTAGGCAATGGTGATCCATAGCAGATTTCTGGGACAGAAAACTGTTCAACCATTACAAAGAACATCAAATCAAAGGTATTAGATTAGAGTTCTACAAACTATTATGCTAAAAATAAAAAAGCAAGCTGCCAAATTAATGTCTTCATTTCCTTTTTAAACTGGGGGGGGGGGGGGGGGGACACAGGAGTATGATATGAAAGAGATTGAGTACGGAGCCTACCTTTTAGTAAGCACTTCAATCCCCTTGAGAAATAAAGGTGACTTGAAAACAGATGGCTGAGTATTATTTCATTTCGGAATACAGCATTTTTAATGAAATAAGTTTTCAGCCCTCGTCCGCCTGCAGAACAAAGGGTCCTGGGTTCGATTCCGGTCAAGGGCACATACTTCGGTTACAGGCACCGAGGCCAGGCCCTGGTCAGGGCGTGTGCTGGAGGCAATGAATCAATGTGTTTCTCTCACATCAATGTCTCTCTCAAGTCTTTCCCTCTCTCTCTAAAAATCAATGGGAAAATATCCTCGGGTGAGGATTAAACACACACACACACACACACACACACACACACAAATAAGCTATCAACTCACATTCTACTCCTAAGAATGTGAGAATGCATACATCCCTACAATGCAGTATGTAACGTGTGATGCTTTCCATTACGGAGTAAAAACTTAATGCCGTAATTCAGGGGGGAAAGAATGACGCCTTTTAAACCGTCTTACCGGGCGGAAAACTTCCCTTCTCCCGCCTCCAGATAACCTTCGAGAAGCGTGCAGGAGCGAGCACACTCAGGGAACAAAGTGGCGCTCTCTGTAATCTGGAAGCAAAGCCTTCCTCCCCGGGAAGCCCCACCGACGGTACATGCTGTGCATTTATTTTAAAATCAAAGCAAAGGAAAAAAAATGATAAATAAATCCTTTTTTTTAAGTCATCATCAGATCAAATCTTATCTTTTGATTTTCTTCTTCCCTATCAAGTCAAAAGAACCTGATTAAAGTCGTCCTTTTTTTCTTTTTTTCTTTTTTTATTAAAGTCTTCTTAAAGAAAGACTACTACATTCCTTAAAAAGAATTACCTAGGACTAAAGATAACCAACCACTGTCTACGGGCCTTATTATTGTACCTGCTCCCAGATACTCTGAATAAACATCTCAAACAGAAAAAGAAAAACACAAAACCTAACACCACAAACTGTCCAGGTACTCCCATCCTCTCTCCAGCGGTGAATTTATCTTCTAAGGGGGAGACGTTTTATACTCTTCACACCTCCGTATTCCTGAACAACAAGTAACTTCTTTCTGAGGGAAGAGATCACAGTGTACAAAAGAGGACTTTTTTTCTTTCTCTTATTCTTCGAAACAAGGTTTCGAAGCGCCCAGAAAACAGCATAAGACTTCAAAACGCATAGAAGCAGAAGGGGAAAAAAAAAAAAAAAAAAAAATGGAGAAAGAACAGTGTTCTTTTTTTTTTTTTTTCCTTTTTTTCTTTTGCTGAGACTCACAGATCTTTGTTTTCACTTAAAAAAAAAAAAAAGTTTCATCTCCTTGTCCATTCGGTAGGAGGGCTTTTGGTGTTAACTTTTTTTCACAAGTTTTCAATTCAAACGAAACTATTAAAAAGTCGTGTTTTTTTAAATTATTTTTTTAAATGTCTTTATTAAGCTATCACCTATTTGTCCTCCTTGTTATGTTTTGTTTTAATTTTCAATGTTGCCTTCGGATAAATAATACAGGACGGGAAGAAGAGGGAAAAGAAAAATAATAAATAAATAAATAAAATTAAAAAAAAAAAAAAGCTACCTCCTGCCCAGCTGAGTGTGTTACGGCCTCAATGCCTTATCGCCGGGGCGCGCATTCCACCGCGGGTGACATCAGATCGAAACTGCACGGTTTCGCCGGCACCGAACCTCCCGTCCCTCCGATCGCAAGGCTACCGGGCTCGCCGGCGGGGGACCCCCAAACCCCCAAACCCCCAACCCTCCAACCCCTGGCCTCGGTCCCCCCGCGGGAGGCCCGCACCCCCCCTCCCCTCCCCTCCCGACGCCCAGGGGTTCCCGGGCGCCGGACCTGTTGCGCGTCCCCGCCCCGCCCGCCGCGAGCTCCGCGGAGCCTGGCACCGGCGCCCGCGGCGATGCACCTGCCCGACGGGGCCCCGCGCCCGCCGCCCCCGCCGCCCCCGCCCGGAGCGCCCGCCCGCGGGGAAGAGGAGGACGAGGAGGAGGAGGACGAGAAGGAGGGGGAAGGCGGGGCGCGGGACGGACCCCCGGCGGCCCCGGAGGCGCTCGCTCACCTTGGCGGCCGCGGCCCTGGCCGACATCTTGTCTCCCTCCGGCGCCGCGCGACGCTCCCCGGACCCGAAACTCCGCGCCACCGGCCCGCCGGCTCCTCACGCCGCGGCGGCCCCGATAAACATCTCCCGGGAGCGAGCGAGCGAGCGAGCGGGGCTGGAGCCGGGGAGTGTGGGGGGCGGGGGCCGGGGAGAGGCCCGGGAGGCCCGGCCCACGGGGAGGGACTCAACTCGGACAAAAGTCCGGGGAACGCCCGCCTCCGGCCCGGCCCGGCCCGCCCCGCCGGCCCTCTCTCCGCGGGGCGCGCCCGGCCGGCGCCTCCCTCCCTCCCTCCCTCCCTCCCTCCCTCCCTCCCTCCGAGTGCGGCCGCTCCGCGCGGGCCTCCCCCAGCTCGGGCTGCCCGGCCCGCCCGCCGCGTCCGCCCCGCAGCCTCCGGGGACCCGCGGACCGGCCGGAGGCTCCTCGGGAAAACCGGCCTCAGCGCAACTTCGCGGGAACGACGCACGCGCAGCGTCGGCGGACGGAGCCGGCGCCGGCAACCGCGGGCGGCCACGCAAACCTGCCGGCGCGGCGCGGCGCCCACTGAGCATGCTCAGCTGGGAGGGGGCGGGGCCACGCTGGGGGGCAGGGGAGCGTTGGGGGCGTGGTTTCCTTGGGGGCGTGGCGTGGTGGGCGGGGCCAGCGCCCCCCAGCCCCCGTCCGCCCGCTTCCTGCTGCTGGACGCCCCCCCTCCCCCCCCCCCCCCCGTCGCGGAAGGAAAAGGCCAGTTTCCCGAAGTCCCAGGGAGTAACTGGGAGGCCTGGTTTCCGCTGGCCCCGGGAGTCTTCCTGTTTGTTGTGGGTTTTTTTTTACTGAGGGTCCGGCGGAAATCGCCCCCAAGCAACAAGCCCCTGAGCACAATCCTTTAAAAAAAAAAAAAAAACTTATAAAGATGCTTATGCATTTTGTCCTAAATCAGCCACTGCCTCAATTCACCCCCTACCTGTGCATCCTTCCTTCACCTGGGAAGTAACGGTGCTCACAGTTGCACCACGTGTTGGGGGCCTGCTGATCCATGGGAGGCTACATGCCTGTGGTGTGCAGTGTGTTGTGTGTTTTGTGTGTGTGTGTGTGTGTGTGTGTGTGTGTGTTTCTTTCTGTAAAGTGCACCTTGGCCCTCATCTCTAAGGAGCTCCTAACAAGGTCAGAATAATTACACTTAATTCTCGACAACCCGAACTGACCTGAGTAAAACTGGTAATGAGGTCACGGGCATTCCGGGCAAGCAGGCTGGTTCACTCACATTAGGCCCTCGAGGTCTATCCAAAGTCTTTTTCTCCAAGTGCAACAAGCCAGGTCTTAAAAAAATACAGGCTGCCATCAAAAAATGCTGGAATTCTTGCCCGGCCAGCATGGCTCCGTGGTTGCGCCTTAACCTATGAGCCAGGAGGTCACGGTTGGACTCCCAGTGAGGGCACTTGCCCCCCTCCACTCCCCACCCCCCGCTGCAGGAGGGATCTCCAGTGTGGGGTGTGCAGGAGGCAGCTGATCTATGATTCTTTCTCATCATGGATGTTTCTCTCCCTCTCCGTCTCTGAGAATTCTTAGTAGTGAGTGGAGAGGGGTCTCTGGCTGCCTTGCAATTCTAAACCCAGTTCTTCCAGCTCAGCCAGTGCAAAGACATGCCGTCCACAGTCCAGTTTACTGGGCCATTACTCAAACTGCCCACCGTGCTTGTTGGCGGGTGGCCTTGATAAACACCAAGGAACATACATGCAAAGAAGCGTTCCCTACACTCTGTAAAATGCACAGCTCCTCACACAGGCCAGGAATTCTTAGTAACCTTAAATGATAACGTCCTTAAGGAACCCAGGATACAGCCACTAAAGGTACACGAGAGCTGGATAAAAAGCATACACATCAAGTTCCATAGGATGGCATTCTCTTTTGAACTCAGTGGTAGGAAAAAATCTCACTTATCTTAACCAAGAAGTATCTGTATGTCACACATGAACAATTAAGATTTTCACTATAAAGTACCACATATTCTGCACCCTGAAGCTGCCTGAACCAGGATAAATGGCATTCTTCAAATCAAAAGCCTTATCACCCCTCTAAGCCCCCTTGCCTAGAAATGGTTAAAGTCACTTTTTTAAAAGGTCATGTGTGTATTTTTCTTTGTTTTTAGACAAACTGTTGTTTCTACTTATAAGAACTGTAATTAATATGTCCTTATGAGCCAATGCTGTTTTTTTTTTTTTTATTGATTTTTTACAGAGAGGAGGAGAGAGGGATAAAGAGTTAGAAACGTCGATGAGAGAGAAACATCGACCAGCTGCCTCTTGCACACCCCCTACTGGGGATGTGCCCGCAACCCAATGTACATGCCCTTGACCGGAATTGAACCTGGGACCTTTCAGTCCGCAGACCGACGCTCTACCACTGAGCTAAACTGGTTTTGGCCCAACGCTGTTTCTTATCAAGGTGGGAGACTTTTTATTTTAAAAGGTAGTTGTGGCCCTAACCGGTTTGTCTCAATGGGTAGAGCGTCGGCCTGCAGACTGAAGAGCCCCCGGTTCAATCCCAGTCATAGGTCACAGAGTACCTCCGAGGCAGGCTGGATCCCTGGACCCAACGGGGCCCATTGGGGAAGCAACCAATCAGTGTGTCTCTCTCTCACATCGATGTTTCTCTCTGTGTCTCTCTCCTTCCCTTCCACTCTCTCTGAAAATCAATGGAGAAACATCCTCGGGCGGGGATTAATAAAAAATAATAATAATGGCCGAAACCGGTTTGGCTCAATGGATAGAGCGTCGGCTTGGGGACTGAAGGGTCCCGGGTTCGATTCCGGTCAAGGGCATGTACCTTGGTTGCGGACATATCCCCAGTGGGGGGTGTGCAAGAGGCAGCTGATCGATGACTCTCTCTCATCGATGTTTCTAACTCTCTATCTCTCTCCCTTCCTATCTGTACAAAATCAATAAAATATATTTTTAAAAAAATAATAATAATGGTCAAACACTCTGGTCAGAAACTAACAATACTGCCCCATCGCTTTGGTTTGTTTTGGGGGAGATGCTTTCACTAAGACGTGGAAAGCAGAATTCAGCTGCCCCTTTAGCAACAAAGAGTTTACCCACAAAACACCAAAACAGTGTGGACATTCTACCACAGCGTGAAGGCTGAGGTAGGAGAATGGTTAAAGCTCCTCCAGACTTCTGGTTGGGAAGAAATACGTGCACTCCTGAGCTTCTCCCCCAAAATCACGCTTCCCCCAAAACCTCCTTCGGTTCCACGGCTTTATCTCATGGTCTGATCACCACATGCACACTGAACAGGAAGCGAAACAACCACAACACTTACAGAGACAACTTCCTGTGGGATTTTTGGTGTCTGCGGCTCAGAATGAAGAAGAATAAAAAAAAAAACACACACACACACATAGCGTGTGCAAAATCTCCATGAGCCTTAGAATGAGCCACGTAGCAAAACAGCACACACACATGTTACAGGTTTATGTTTTCTATGTATGTATTTCCGTTACAAAATATATATATCCTTAGAAAGAAATATTTACATTATTTCGGGCCCGAGCTAGGAGTGTGTGTAGGAAATGCAAAGGGGAAGTACCAGAACACCGTGACAGAATAGGAGATTCTCAATTATGTCCCAGGAGAGAATCTACGACATACATGGGATCCCCGAATTTCATGCACCGGGCCTCTAGTTCATAAGAATGATCTTTTAAAACAAAGCAAGGTATAGAAAAGTTTAGTGCAACCCCACTTAAAAAGAAGCAAATACATTTTTGTATTTCAAATAACTTTTAAAAGGAAGTAAAATATCTACATTGATTTGCAAAAGTGACAGTGGAAGGTCAACTTAGAACAAATCACTGGAGAGGAAGAGGACATTGATAATATAGACTTTTTTTTTTTAAATAGATTTCAGAGAGAAGAAAAAAGAGAGCAACACGAACAGCTGAGGGAAAGCCACCCGGTTCATCAACACTAAATCAGCGTTCTCTTTGGCTGACAGAGGGTGGACGCCGATGGTGAAAGCATCGAAAACAGCATGAGGGGCGTGGCTCACGCCCGAGTGGGCTCCACCCCCAGCGTGGGGTGTGCAGGAGGCAGCCAGTCTGTTATTCTCTCTCCTCCTCATTAATGTTTCTCTCTCTCTCCCTCTCCCTTCCTCTCAAATCAATTTAAAAAAATGTTTTTAAGAAGAGCATGAGTTGGATAACCTGGGAAAGATCTCCTGGTGCAAAAGTGGTCTCATGGGGTCCTCACCAGTTTGGCTCAGTGGACAGAGCATCGTCCTGCAGACTGAAGGGTCCCAAGTTCAATTCCGGTCAAGGGCATGGACCTTGGTTGCAGGCACATCCCCAACAGGGGGTGTGCAGGAGGCCAGCTGGTCAATGTCTTTCTCTCATCGATGTTTCTAACTCTCTATTCCTTTCCCTTCCTCTCTGTGAAAAGTCAATAAATTATATTTTAAATAAAAAGTGGTCTCGTGGGCACAACAGAAGTGGGGTCCCACAGGGGGCTGGTGGGTATGCGTTGTGGGGGGGCCGGGGCAGACTCACCCTAAGGGCCTTGCTAGCTATAACTCTCAGGGCTCTGAAGAGTCACCAGCCGAAGCTCTTGTCCCTCCCTGACACGACGAGGCCAGCGTGGGCTGTGGCTCTTTGTGGATCGAACCCACGGCGGAAAGATAACATGTTATCACACTCCATACTCTGTCTCAGGGACAAGATCTAATTTTAAACGTGATTAATACTTCCTTTGGCGAGCGTGTAGCCCGTGGAAATGAAAAGCTATATGAGAGCTGGGTGCATTCAAAAACAACACACACACACACACACACACACACCAGGCTGGGCTTCAATGTGTATGCGTGTGTGCGTGTGTGCGTGTGTGAGTGAGAGAGCGAGAGCAAGGGTTGTGTTTTGAAAGGGTGTGGTTTCCTGACTCTTGGGGTTGAGTGGAAACATTCCCGAGCCAAATGCATTTCTCCATGATCCCGAAGGCAGGAAGAACAGGCACCT